ATTCCTGGTACAAAAAAAGTGGGGGGGGATGATAGCCCTTGTGCTTGGGTAGAAAGAACCAACATAGTGAGAATGTTCATACTTCCAAAAGTGCTATACAGATTTAATGCAATTCTGATCAAAATTCCAACAGTATAACCACAGGATTAGAGAAAATAATCCTAAAAATCATTTGGATCCAGGAAAGACAGACCTACAGCAGCAAAGGCAATTCTCAGTAACAAAGGCAAAGCAGGGGGCATCACAATCCTTGACTTGAAATTATACTATAAAGCTACTGTGATAAAAACAGCATGGTGCTGCTAAGAAAACAGACTTGAAGATCAGTGGAACAGATTAGAAGATGCAGAAACAACTCAGTGTACTCAGCTACCTTATCTTTGTCAAAGGCTTCAAACACATTCATGGAAGAAATATAAATTCTTTAATAAAAGTTCTAGAAAAACTGGCTTTGCACATGCTGAAGATTATAACTGTATCATATACTAAGCCAAATTTGAAATGGATCAAAGATCTAAATATTAAAACATATATTAAATCTGCTGGAAGATAGAATAGATTAAACTCTTGAAGACATTGGTGTAGGAAAAAACTTTATAAATAAAATCCCAATCACAGAGGAACTACCATAAAGAATCAAAAACTGGGATCTCATCTTATTAAAAAGCTTTTGCATAGCAAGAAAATCCACCAACAGAGTAAAGACGCAGCCCACAATGTAGGAAAAAATGTTTTCAAGCTGTTCCTCAGACAGAGGAGTACTGTTAAAAATATAAATAAAAGAACTAAAAAAAATATAAATAAAAGAACTAAAAAAAAATGAGACCTCTCAAATATAAAACCCAACCAAAAATGGGCATCTGAGATGAATAAACACTTCTCAGATGAAGAAATACAAGCAGAAAATAAACATATGAAAAAATGTTCAACATCCCTGGTCCATGCAAGAGATGCAAATTAAAACAACATTACGATTCTATCTCACTCCAGAAAGAATGGCTATCATGAAGAAATCAACCAATAGTAAATGCTGGAGAGGTTGTGGGGGAAAAGGAACCCTTCTCCACTGTTGGTGAGAGTGTAGACTGGTGCAAACACTGTGGAAGTAAGTGTGGAGATTCCTGCAAAAACTAGGATTGGAGGTCCCATTCAACCCAGCTACTACCCTTCTGGGTATCTTCCTAGCAGAATTGAAAGCATTGTACCACAATGATACATGTGCACCCATGTTGATAGCAGCACCCTTTGTAATAGCTAGATCTTGGAAACAACCCAAATGACCATCAGATGAAGAACAGATAAAAAACATATGGCCTTTTTATACAATGGAGTACTAATCAGCCATCATGAAGGATAATCTTGAGAGTTTTATAGGTAAATGAATGCAATTTGAGATCATACTAATAAATGAAATAAACCAAACTCACATGTGGAAACAGCATATTGTCTCCCTAGTGTGAGAAGCTGAAAGAGGAAATAAGTTCCAAAGTGTACAGTAGATCTTGTGAAACGGGAAGAAACTGTTCTAAAGGAAAGAAAAACAGATACAGGAAAAGAGAAAAGAGGGAAGAGAATACTATATATATATATATATGATACTAAGATCATTATACTACTAATTTCTCTTAGTTCACTGAAATTAAAGGTTTGTACTAACATTGTTTAGACAATTAAATGCCTATATCTGAGTAACTAATTTAAAGATAACAATACACAATATATTAACCATTATTACTTTCCTATTGTTTTGAAATTTCATTTTACTTTAAAAAAATACAATGAAGAACAACAAAAATAACCTGCCAATAAAGAAAAGCCCAGGCCACAACAGATTCACTGCTCATTTCTAAAAGAAATTTCGAGAAGATCTAATGCCACTACTTTTCAAACTCTTTAATGAAGTTGAAAGAGAAGCAATACTTCCAAACTGGAAATAAGCATTGCTTTGATACAAAAACCAGACAAGGATTCAACCAAAAAAAGAGAACTTTAGGCCAATCTCTCTAATGAACATAGATGCAAAAATCCTCAATAAGATACTGGCAAACAGAATGGAGCAAATCATCAAGAAGAGTGTACACCATGACCAAGTGGGATTCATCCCATTGATACAGGGATGGTTCAACATATGCAAGTCAATAAATATAATATATATTTAGCCAAGAATAAATATTCTTTTATTATTATAAGAACTGCATTTTTCAAAAACATTCATTCTCATTTAAACCTATCAAAAGAAAAGATGCATGTTTTTTATGTATTTAGTGTCAGGTCTACAGGCTCTTACTATACAGATCAGACTTGGAGTGATCCTTCCTGTTTTTCTGCCTCCCAAGTGCTGGGATTACAGCCGAGTGCCACCATGTCCAGTCTCAGTTACCAGCTCAGTGCACCGCAGGGGCGGGGCCAGCAGGGCCCTCTAGGGACTGAACCCTGGCTCCTGCATCTGCTAAGCAGGCAATTTAATCTGCTGCGCTATCTAGCTGGCTCAGAGACACATCTTAACAACAAGGGTTTTTTTTTTTTGTGGTTGTTTGTTTTGCTGTTTGGGTACTAGGGATTGAACCTCAGGGCTTTTAAATTTTTTTATTTGTTTTGAGACAGGGTCTTGATAAGTCACTAAATTGGCTAGATTGAGCTGAATTTTTGATCAGTTGTCCTGTCTCAGCTTCCCAGAGTGCTGGAATTACAGCCATGCACTTCCACAGCCATTTAAAAACAATTATTAAACAAAATATTGCTTTGAAAATTGTTTCGCATGTCTACCAATTTTGTACCTTTTATGTTAAAGAAAGAAAATTTTCTTCCCTTATTAAAAAAACTTGGTTTTTATTAGCTCTCTCAACTTTTGTTTTTTATTATTTTCCCAAGCAATCAGGTGGCAAAATAAGCTGGCATATTGCCCTGTACTTATTGGAATCATTCTCTGTGTCAAACCCTAGAATAACCCAGCATTCTGTACATGAGTTTCCCTCCTGAGATGCTTAGGTGAGACTCTACTATTTCCCAGGGAATGAAGGCCCATCAGCAAAGGTAGATCTCAGCACTGCCGAAAGAGGAGCATCAGCCTTTTGGCTGGCCTTTGCGTGCTGAGTGCATGCAGTGATGCTGACAGTGACAGAGCTCTGAAACCTGCCAAGCCATTGCAGAGGGATGGTCAGCTAGAGATGGAATTTAGAACTGCTGTCCATCCGCTCACCTCTTGGGGCTCAAACCTCCACCTCCTACCACCAGTAGGGGTTTGTGCACCCTTTCGGCATCTCCACTCCATCCTGCAGCCTGCTCCAGAGTCTACCTTCCCTAAACTCTGTACCCTAGGCTCCAGTGCAAAACCTGCAGGAGCTCTCGGATGCTCCTCCAGTGACACCCCGTCGCAAGTCCCCTGCCTCTGGCAACAGCTTCTCAGTCTCCTCTCTTGCCCCTGCCTGGCTCCTGTCCACCCAACTCTTGCCAGGTTTTCAAAATGGTCCTCAGATCTGTCCCTGTTCTTCTCCACTGTCATTCACAGTGATTTTATTTCTTCTCTAAATACTTAGACTCTGAAGTTATTTGTGGACTTCACACACTCAGACTGAACCCTGGTGTGTGCAGAGGGACTACCTTACTAGTAACTGGGAGTGGCCCAAAAGATGGAGCAGAGTTGAGACAGCCTCCAACGCAGCACCTCTGCACACAGACAAACTTTTTCCCCTTGGCCTTCTCTCCCGAACGCTGACTGACTCCAGGCAGCCTTCAAAACGCAGCTGCTTCGCTTCTGAGTTGCCCTTATAACTGTGTGGTTTTTGGAGGAAGAGCCCCCTCCCATCTTGCTCTGCCAACAGGATGAGAATCTAATGTCTCCAGGAAAAAGAACAGAGAATCATCTTGCTGCTCCATATGAATGAGATTTCCCAGTCCAGATTAATCCCATGGGCCCTTCTACTGGCAGAACCACTCAAAGCCAGAGAGACCTGTGTTAGCTTCACAGGGCAGCTTGTTAGAAGCACAGATTCAGCCAGGCTTGCACTCTGAGAGGCCGAGGAGGAGGATCTCAAGTTTAAGTCCAATCCGGACAACCTGTCCCAGATCCTGTCTCAATATTTAAAAAATAAATTCAAAAGGGCTGAAGATACACTTCAGTTCAATGCAAAAGAGCTGGGTTCTATCCCCAGAACCACGTCGTGGTGGTAACACACTTTCTCAGTTGCTAAGTCATTCCTGTCTCAGTTTGTTTGTCTTTTAAGCACCCAAACCCCCCACATTGGTCAAAAAAGGAGGCATGGAGACTGAAGGGCCCACCTTGCTCCAGATCCACACAGAGGCAGATAGCTTCCGGTGATCACCCGAAACTCCACCTCTTAAAAAGCAACTGACTGCTGTTGAGTTTCCTTGAAGGCTACGTGGGAAAAGGTTTGTGTGGCTGTGAGACGCCAGCTGGGGCTGAGCTCTGCGACCTGGGCCTGAGACCCAGTTGGGCAGCGCTCTGAGGGGTCGTTAGGCAGCGTTTATCTTTCTCATCCAGCAAGAGTGCACAGGTACACTTCGTGTGGGTCACTACAAGGGAACCCCCGATTTGGTAGGAGGGGAAAAGGTCACAGAAGCAACTTTTGAAGAGAAGAAAAAAAAAAAGTAAAACAGTCAGCTCTATCTCCCCAAAGGGAAAGGAACTGCGCTGTTTGCCCCTTGTCACTGAGCAACACCCGGGCGACGGGGCAGTCCTCTGCGGTTTTCTCGCTTGTCCCGGCGTGGGTGCACTTCCACCCTCCAACGCTCGGGCGCCCCTTCCTCCCCCTACCGGCTGGGCGGTCCCGTGGCGCTGTTCCCGGGGCGCGGTAGGGGTCGCTGCACCGCGCGGCGCTCGCCCGCGCTGGATAACGGGGCCGGGCTGCAGGAGAAAGGAAACCTGTCCCGGAGGCGGCGGCGGCGGCGGCGGCGGCGCGGAGCAGAGTCGCTGTGCTCGGCGTCTGCGCGCGGGGACAGCGGGCCCGGCTAGGCAGCACGGTCCCGGCGTGGACGGCAGGGAGATCGGAGCGCGCCGGCGGGGCGCAGAGCCCGCCAGCCTGGCTAACGAGGGGAGCCGCGGGGGGCGCGCCCCTGGAGGGCCCCCGGAGCCGCGCAGGATGCCGCACGAAGAGCCGCCGTCGCTGCAGCGACCGCGCTACGGCTGTAAGTGCCCAGGGGCCCGTGCTATCTGCGGATATGGGGAAGCCCCCTCCCCCGGAGCAAGCTGGGGAGGCCGAGGGCGCGGGGGCGCGCGGGGCGGGGAGCGGAAAGGCAGCTGTGGCGGCTACACCGTGGCTGGCGAAGTTGGGGGCTGGAGTTGCAGAGGGCAGAGCGCGGCGTCTTCCCGCGCTTCTCTGTAGACTGCGAGTCCATTGCGGGCAGCTCGGACCGGTGCACCCCAGCAGGCGCGGGGTCCTGGGTGGACCAGGCTAGGAGTTGAGGGGTATCAGGTGAGGAGCCTGCGGAGCTCTGGTCGCTGCCCGCTCGGGCCAGGGGGTGGCGTCTGGGACCCGGTGCATCCGAAACAGGAGGGGCGGAAAGTTTGTTTGCTGTGGCTACAGGTGGGCACCTCCTGTAGGTTGCCAGCGCGCACACACACAGCTAGTGTTGAAGGCGGATGTTCCGGAACGGCAGGCGTCTCCTCCTGTCCTGTTCTCAGGCCTTCACCTGGCCGGCCGGGGCCAGTTCAGGTCCCACAGGTGAGCGTCTCTTCCTGCCCCAACCGAAAAAGGACACCTCCCTCCCCCACCCCCACTCCGCGTGTGGTCAGAGGCCCTGTGGCCCGCGTGACTTGGACGGGATGGTGCCAGTTACCCCGCCAGGGGCTGCCCCCAGAGCGAGGTTGCTTTGGCTGATCGCAAGTAGATGGAGCTGGAGATTAGCACAACCACGTGGCTTCATGTGCAGAGTTCAGAGTCCTAAACATGTGCCAGGAAGTATTTCCTTTAAAACAAACAGAAAGCTGGCCCTCTTTCTGTAGGCTTGGTCCTGTCCTCGAACCCATAGTGCAGGATCACATGTTAATCTTCTGCATAGGCTGGCCTTGGGGACAGAGGTGCCGAGGTTTGGTTCAAATTGATGATACCTGCAGTAGGGTGTGTGTGTGTGTGTGTGTGTGTGTGTGCGCGCGCGCGCGCGTTTTGCAATTCTTGGTGGGGCCAAGAACTACATTTGAAAATAGGAGTGGTCAACTTGTGTGCCCCCTTCTTTCCCCTCCCCCAACTAGGGATGGAGTGTCGGGTGGAAGTTGGTTTTTCCCACGTGACCATTCCCCCGTCAGGCAGCGAGGAGGGGCCAGCTACAGCCTTGCAGTCTCCTGCTCTAAGTAAGCGCCCTAGGCGGCGGTTGACCAGGACTTAGGGTTTTGCAGCTTCAGTTTGCAGTTTGGTAAACCACACAGATAGCAGAGGTCCGGGAGCGCGGGGAGGAGCCCAGGGCTCCTCTGGCGGTTGCAGTGTTACCCTCAGCTGGGTGGAAGTCCTTTAGTGTGACAAGCTGTCAGAACACATGGTCTCTTCTCTGCACAAATTGATGACCACAAAGGCTGGAAACTGGGCAAATAAAACATTAAAAAAAAAATGGTTTGTTGCTACGGAATGGTTGGCATGATTAGCAAAGCAGAGTGAAAACTTGCAGTGACGCGAACGGGTGCTTGGATGAACGTTGCATTTCCCTCAGTCCTGAGGCATTTGCTTGGTTTTTATGGAGTCAACCTGTGGCTGCAGTTCTGCGCAGTCTAGAAGAAGAAATCAAAGAGGTGAAAATCCTAAGAGTCCAAAGCCTGCTGCACAGGTGAAATCCGCACAGGTCTCTCCTGGCCAGTCTGGGGTGCAGGGTGGCCGCCCTCGTGGGAGCATTTCCCTTCCCTCGCTCATCAAGGGCTGGCATTCATCCGCTCTTTCACCTCATCAGACAGGGAAAGTATGCGTTTAGGTTTCCAGGCCCCGTCACCACGGCGAAATATGAAGACCTAAATAGAATGGCCTGTTATGCTGTGAGAATGAGCATTCTTAGCATTTGCATGTCAGGTTTGAGAATGCTGTATGTTCACAGCGTGCTTAAAAATGATCTCTCACAAAATAACCATAGTGTTCACTGACAGCTGCTAGCACGGAGCGGTCACGCTGAAGGGGTGGTGTGGGATATCATACTTTTCCTGCTTGTTGGTGGCCTGCTGGGCCTCTTGTCCACGTGAGACTGGGACCAGTGTTGGCCACCCTTGGCAGGCCAGGACGGAAGGGTGACAGCAAGTGTCCTTGCCTTGTTACATCACAGGAGGTGTGGTTTTCCTTGTTTATTAGTTTGGTCAGTAAGTGCAGGTTCAGCAAAACCTCTGACTGTACCAAAGAAGCTTTAGTCCCAATACTTACAGCACTGAAAAACTGTCATTTCAGTGCCACTTGCTGAGTGTTCTGAGCATGTTTGAGACTGAGCTTTTAAAACAACTTTTTGGTGGTTTAAATTAAGCTATTATACTTGTTCTTGGGTAGGCTCTGGTCCTGGCCTCTACCTTCCTGAATGATCTTTGCATTCACTGATTCTTATATGAAATAACTGAATTCACGTGGCTCAGGCTGTTTGGATTGCTCTTCTCCCTGCCAGGCTGCATGTCCTGTAAAATACCACATAGGAAGTTGTGCTTGGGGGATTTCTCAATGAGTTCTGCATTAGAACGACAAGCCTTCTCAGATTTCTGACAGGCAAGATTGCTGCAGGCATCCTGATTCATGACAGCATTGAATTAAAATTACATAGGCCACTTTCCATTTAATTCTTTGCTATTGTTGGCCATGTCTCCTGTGACCTGGGAAATCACATAGTGTGACATTGATACAATGTCAATATTCTACCAACACAGTGATGCAGTGCTGGGAGAAGTGGGAGAAGGGAGAGAGGAGAGCTATTATGGAGACCTACAGTGGTTTTCTACCCTCAAAACCAAATGTATTTATTTATTTACTTTTGAGACAGGGCCTTGCTGTGTAGCCCAGGCTGGCTTTCAACTTGCCATCCTCCTGCCTCAGTCTCCTGAGTGCTGGGATTACAGGCTTACATGACCATTCCTGGCTCTTCAAAATCTAATTTTAGTGACACTTCTGCTTAGGTATGACTTGCAAAGAACTTCTGGTGAACTGTGATGTTTGTGCCCAGTCAGCTCTGAATACACACTGCCACCAAAATGTGGCAGAAGTTCTTTCTTTGCCATAGCAGGGATTGAACTCAGGACCTTGCACTTTCCAGGCAAGTGCATATTCTACTGAGCAATCTCCCTGGCCCCTAGAATAAAAGACTTGAGAGTTAAAAAGGCTAATGAGGCTGGAGTAGCAGGTATGACTGAAACTCTTGTAAGCCTGCTCAGGAGGCTGGTGCAGGAGCACTGTAAGTTTTAAGCACCTGTGTAGATGTGTGTGTCACTGGGTTTTATGCTTTTCATTGAAGGAGAAAAAGCCAAAGACCTTTGTGACTAGACAGATGATCTCTTGGGGGCAGGCACTAGGAATTGAACTCAGGACCTTGCACTTGCCAGGCAGGCACTGTGCCCCTGAGCTATATCCTGGACTATAGATAGATGATTTCATTCAGCACAGAGAACTCACTCAATATTTTAAGTGTCACTGTGGATTGCTAAGGGCCGTGCATATGACAAAAGCTGTGGGTTTCTTTTTTTTTTAATTTATGTATTTGGTACAGAGTCTCAATGTGCAGCTCAGACTAGTAGTGATCCTCCTGTCTTAGCCTCTCCAGTGCTGGGATTACAAGCATGTGCCACCATGCCCTGTTTTGTTGGCACATGGTACGGGGCCAGCATGGCATGCAGTACCGGGGTTCAAATCCCCGTCCTTGTGCTTCTTAGGCAGGCAATTAGAACACTGAGCTAGCTCCTCAGCCAATCTGTTGATTTTTACTATGCAAAATGGGACACCTTTTCATGAGTTACAAGACATGGTCAAAAACATAGTGACTATTACAAATTTTTTAAAAATTAGTATAGTAAAGTACACATGACCATTAATCTGCCTCAAAACATTCTCCCCCACTTTGAACACACTGATCTAATCATTCTTAACACTGTCCGAGGCAGGTCTGGAAGTTCTCTTTTGTGAGTGTCGCTATGAGATATGAGGAAAAGCACAGGGAGCGTTGCTGCTGAATGCCACCCCATAGAAAGGCAGGCTCGCGACAACATGGTGTCCTCATCTACCTCAGACACTGAATCTGTTCCCCAGTGTCAAAATGATCATGAAAACGCCAATGTTTTATATAGATATAGGACATCAAAGCAGCCAGAACTGCTTCAGAGGGCAGCAAGAAGGATTGGCTTAGTGTGTTCATAACAAAGAGGAGGAGTTATGCATTCACTGTATTTACTGGTTATGCTTGGAACATTAAAAAATTATAGTGGGCAACGTTTTACTGTTTGCTTCTTTTAAAAACTGCAGCATGAGCTGGGTGTGGTGGCACACACCTGTAATCCCAGCACTTGGGAGGCTGAGGCAGGAGGATCACTGCGAGTTCAAGACCAGCCTGGGCTACCTAGTGAACTCTAGGCCAGCCTGAACTGCAATTAGTGAAAACCTGTCTTGATAAATAAATAAATAATAGCTGTGTGTGTGTGTGTGTGTGTGTGTGTGTGTGTTGGGGGAAGAGTCTGGTTAATGCTATCAGTTTTGGAGTGATGTGCTTGCCTGAATAGCTAGGTTTCTGAATGACTTGATAGCTATAGTATGGAGTTGGTGAATCCAGCTAAGTTTTATTTCTTTGTGACTTCCAGCCTGAGGTGAAGCTTACATTCTGACCTAGCTAAACGCAGTTGTGTAGAACAGGCCCTCGGGGCATGTTTGCACCCTTTTGCTGGCTGGGGTCTCCCTGGCTTAGCACCCCAAGGAGCCCTGAAGAACGTCTGCGGTGCTCCTGGGTGCTGTGACTGTTGTGGCAGGGTCAGAGCACTGCCTGGGTACTGGTGTTCTGCTCCAGCTTTCCAAGAGGATCTTTAAGGTCAACAGCTAAAGTGTTATTTTAGTATGCTTTTAACTTTAATTACACACACCGTTAGCCAAAATGACTTGTTTGGGAGAGTTTAAGCTTGTAATACCAAGTTTGTTTTAAGAGTTAGTGTTATTTAGTGTGTTTGCTAACCCCTTTTTATCGAGGAAACCCTTGAT